ATACAACCGCATACAGATTATACAACCGCATACAGATTATACAACCGCATACAGATCATACAACCGCATACAGATTATACAACCGCATACAGAATATACAACCGCATACAGAATATACAACCACATACAGATTATAAAACCACATACAGATCATACAACCGCATACAGATTATACAACCATGTACAGATTATACAACCACATACAGATTATACAACCACATACAGATTATACAACCACACACAGATTATACAGCCACATACAGATTATACACCATTCAACAACAGAAAGTGTAGATATCCTGATGCTGCTCCATAATCCAGGTAGAAAATCTAACAAAGTTAAGTCAGTTCCTCTGGACAGATTCTTCTAGGAGGGTAGAGTTTTGCACCTGCAGCTTATATCAATAAAACTATAATGGCGTTGTAGAGACAGACAATTGTTTTTTTAATAAAAATAAAAGATCCTAGTTACTTTTCCAATGTGAACAGCAGGAAGACTTTCTGCATCAGCCTTGGCCAGGTCCAGTTTATTCTCCTGAACGTACAGCTCCTTCACCTCATACGACGCATCAACAGGAACTATATCCTGCACAATTAAAACAGAAACATGTGAAATTAATCAGTATCAAAGATCCGGTGCATATTCTGCCTGAAGAATGTTACACTGAGAATTAATAACTTACTACAGAGTGTTGTAATGTGAGAAAAGCCAAAGTGCAGCAACAATAATAAGAGTGCAGTTATGATGCGTTGCTGCCCCACAGTGCACGTGTTGGACATTACAGCCCTGCACTAGGTCAGAAACTCACAGCTCGAACTTTATCAGTGCACATCAAGTTAGGGAGGACATGGAGGAACAAAAGGCCACTCATTATTTTAGAGTCTCTTACACGTTCCTGAAGCAGGTCAACAAGCTGCTGTATGCACTCGTTGACGCTGCAGGAGTCCGTCTTCAGGACGAGCTCTGGAGCCTCGGGCTTCTCGTACTCCGAGTCAATGCCAGTGAAACCTGATAAAACACAAACATTGATCCGTGTCCAACTGTCAGAACAGTCTTCATACAAAACACACTTAACAGCTGTAGGCAGAAAATCAGCACCCATTAGGAAACAGATATCAGCTTCATGGGGGCGGCTGTGGCTGAGTGGTTAGAGCAGTCGTCCTCCAATGGGAGAGTTGTGGGTTCGATTCCGCCAGCAGTCCCATGCTTACCGGTAAGTGTCCCTGGGCAAGACACTGAACCCCTCACTGACTCTGATGTGTGTCCCATCAGTGTCTGAATGTGATGAAGCTCTGATTAGTCTCTACAGATGAGCAGTCAGGGGGTGGAGGGAGTCCGGTTCGGTGGCCTCAGGATTCTTCTCTGCTCTTTGCAGATGATGGATGATGTGCTCCTGTTGTCCTCACCGTTCCGTGATCTTCAGCTCTCACTGGAGCGGTTCACAGACGAGTGTGAAGCGGCTGGGATGAGAACCTGCACCTCCAGATCTGAGGCCATGGTCCTCAACCGGAAAAGGGTGGATTGTTCTCTTCAGGTCGAGGGTGAGGTTCTGCCTCAAGTGGAGGAGTTCAAGTATCTCAGAAGGGGTAGGCAATAAACAAGTATGTAGACAAAAGCACCTTCTCCTACTCCGCTCCTATTTTGTGGAATATCTTGCAACAAGATCTGAAGGTGTCCACCTTGACCTCTCCAAGTGTCTTCAAACATCTGATAAGTTCATGATAAAAACCAACACAGACATGTTCCTGTTTTTAGTTTTCTACATTACCTTATAATCTAGATGTTTTTTAGTTTTTTAATACCATTTCCTTTCATTCGTTCTTCTCAGTTTATGCTTTTTTTTAATGATTGTCCGTTGTTGTCATCATTCTTTGTTAAATCAGGTCTCTCTTGTAAACGAGTCCCCGAGGCTCAATGGGATTAACTTGTAGAAATAAAGCTTGAATGAATCTCAGGGTTTTGTTCACAGTGAAGGAAGAATGGAGCGTGTGATTGACAGATGGATTGGTGCAGCATCTGCAGTATTGTGGACTCTGTGCCGGTCCGCTGAGGTGAAGAGGGAGCTGAGCTGAGTTTCCTCTGCAGAGCTGGACTCTCCTTAGAGACAGGGGGAGAAGTTCAGTTATCAGGAGAGACTCAGAGGAGAACCTCTGCTCCTCCACATCCAGAGGAGCCAGCTGAGGTGGTTCATCTGGTAAAGATGCTCCCTGAGCGCCTCCCTATGGAGGTGCTTTGGGCATGTCTGACTGGGAGGAGACCGTGGGGAAAACCCAGGCTCTCTCAGCTGGCCTGGGAACACTTTGGAGTCCTCCCAGAAGAGCCGACTTCAGAACTGGACAGACGGATGGACGGATGGATGGACGGACGGACGGATGAAGACAATGTGCAGACGCTTTATTAAGCAGGAAATGTAGAGAAGCATGGCACAGACGTTGTTCAGTTAATGTGAACATGGAGACATTGCTCGTCAGCAAACAGTGCAAGTCTTCTGGTTTCTCATCCAGCGCACCTTAAAGGTAACTCACCTCGTATCTCGCCTGCCCTGGCTCTCTTGTACAGCCCCTTCACATCCCTCTGCTCACACACGTCCAGTGGGGCATCCACAAAAACTTCGAAGAAAGGTAAGCCTGCTGCCTCGTGAATCTTGCGGGCATTTAGGCGATCCTGTCAGAAAATACAAATAAAAGATTCCTAAGATAAGTTCCTGTCAGGGAGGAAGACCATGTTTCATCTTGTTCTCTCTTTCCTCACCCTGCTGTAGGGTGAAATGAAACTGGCAATGCAGACCAGGCCTGCATCAGCAAAGAGCCGGGCCACCTCAGCAATGCGCCTAATGTTCTCTTCACGATCCTCAGGACTAAAGCCCAGGTTTTTGTTCAGCCCCTGACGGATGTTGTCCCCATCCAGCGTGTAACAGGGGATACCGTGACACACGAGGTACTCCTCCAGAGCCATGCTCACCGTGGTCTTTCCTGCTCCGGATAAACCTTAGAACGGAAACAAACTATATTTATCACAGGCCGAGCATTCAGTGAAGACATCCGCATCACTCGCCGTCTTTCAGGCCAGACCTAATAATGAAACGTGGTGATATTGTAGACATGTAGATCAAACCTTAAAAGAACATTAGACACAGTTTCACGTCATGTGACCGGCTCAAACTATGTGTTGGAAGTAACTCTGGGCTACTAAGAGGTCACAGTTGAGCTCAGTCTGTGTAACACACACTGAGCTACAGCTGTTTTTGTGTTAACTAGCATTGGTTAGTTATGGTGGCCATCTTGAATTGAGATGACTTGTGCATCCAATAAACATTTCCTGAAAGTTTCATTGAAATCCATCCAGTGACTCATGAGATACTTCAATAACAAACAGGATCAAGTAGAATAGTTATAGAAACATTTTTAACAATGACCCTGAGCAGTCGGGCGCCCCTCAAACTATGTGTTGGAAATCTGTCTCACTTTAGGTCTACATCTGTGTGCTCCTTTTTGACCAGTTCACAATAAAGGGACGAGACAGCAGCCCCTGGTTTACTCCAGAGCTCGATGATCTTCTGCGCAGGAGAGACCAGCTTTGGGCCGCAGCGAGAAAATCTGGCTCAGACACTGATGGTTGAGTTTTGGACAGATGAGGAATAAATGCACAACTTCCATCAAAATCACAAACACAACTATTTCTTATCTCAGACCTCCAAATATCTAAATGACCCCAACAGATTCTGGAAAACCATCAAATCTCTCTCAGGCACCCCCCAATCATCTGACCTCCCATCACAACTTCTCGTTAACTCTGTTCCTGTGTCAAATAAGCACGAGATCCTGAACTGTTTCAAACTAATGGAAAATCAACCACTTCCCCAAATAACCAAACTTCTACAAATCAAATCCCTCCTACAAGTCAATCCTCAGTTAATCTTCTCTCGACCTTTGACCTCTCTAAGTGTCTTTAAGAACCTGTTGGACTCCTGGCAGGGACCAACGCAGACATGTTCCTGTTCTTAGTTTTCTACATTCACCTTAGAATCCAGCTGTTTTTATGTTGCTTTTCTTGCATCTTATTTGTAAAAATAAAGAAATAAATCTGTATGCCTTTTTATAACTGTCCACTGTTGTCCACTGTTGTCCACTGTTGTCCACTGCTGTCCA